ACCAGGCTGTTGTCGGACAAGTCCATCCAATACCAACACATCATAGAGGCATCATTGTGCGTTTTATGAGACACGATGAAAGACAATTAGTACAATCAAATAGGAAACAAACAAACTGGCATATCTATATCAGAAGACATGACACAAGTCAATGTGAAACTACTATCAGCTGTACAAAAACACCCCCTTGTGAAATCAGCGTGGTTTTTTGAAATGGTAAGGTTCGAGCAGAGGGCCATAGTGGCAAAACTTGCCATGTTGAATTATACCCTGATATAGATGATCAACTTATAAAGTATTTATCTGGCTGAAGAAATCTTAAAAAACATGTGCAAAGCCAAATTCTGAATGTTGGTTCAAAGTATGGTCATAATCTGTTAAATATACGAGAATAACCTGAATGTGTGTCTCAAAATTATACTACGCATGCAGATGTCTACCCCCACAGTCAATAAACTTAAAATCAAACTAACTGCTTTGCACACTTCGATGTTAATAATTGGCTACCATATTTTTTGTCATCTACTCGCTTGTTTGAAGTACATGTAAAACCCATGGCAGCTATGATAGATGTGCAGATACTGTTATAATAATGCCTGTCGCTGTGTCCACAAACACTAAACTCTACAGCTGATGTGTTCCACCCTTTTACCTCATTTCCTTGTTATCTTATGATGATTATAGACTAGTTACTGAATACAAAAAAATTATTATATCATTGTATAATATAACATAGCTCAACCTACATATTCTTATGTAATAATGTTAGGAATTGTATAAACTCCAATTGTTTATAAACTGGAAGTATACTAAAATACAATTGTCTTCATGGTCACTATCCCTCTTTCTTTCCTTGATTACAGCAAGTGCATTTAATGAGTAAAATTGTATAGTAGCAGACAGCTTTTTTATTTGAAGGACCTTTAAAATATCTAAAATAAATTTAATCAGTACAATTTCAAAGAGCATATTTCAAGTAAATGTAATCATATATGTACGAACATATATACTTCCAGCTAAATTTGTTAATACTTAAATATTCTGTACATATAAGTATATTGTATATTCATAAACCTTCCACCACTTTTATATGTGCCTTTTACATACCTTACATCATTCCACTTAAATTGATAGAGAGAGCACACTTAAGCTTGAGACAAACCTGTTTTCTAAAGCACATCATGTAAAACCTTGTAAAATTGTTTGATAGCGTAACTATAATCAAAAATCCAGGCTACGGTAAATATGTTAATCAATCAAAGCATTTTATGCTGGCCACTGTAGTATTATTTGAAATGTATAGCCACTGAAGATCCCTAATTATCCCTTCTAACTTTGGATGTGCACAGTACTAGAGCTTGTCTTCCTAAATTGCTGTCAACTTTCAATTTTCGGCTCCATTTCGTATAAAGATATGTGAATTTAGATATAAACGTCATATGTAGCACTTGATAACTTTTAAAAAGGAAAGATTTCGCTGGCACGATTAAAATTCATTGAAAAATGTTAACATGAAATAAATACAAAACGTTAAATTTCAAGTATAAACTCCAATTGTGTGGTGTACACACAAAACCAGTCCCCTGCTCATTTGATAAACGCACTCTGTCACAGACATAATTACCGTTATGTTGTCTTGACTCAAAACCAAAAGCAAAATCCCACGCCCGAAAAGGTAGCACAAAAAATTTAATTTCTGTGATATAATATTGGTTACACATTCTTGTAAATAAACCTAGGTATATGAATATTATAACCATTATCACCATCCACAACTATTAGTATTATATATATGCATTACAATATATGTGGACCCATCACGGCATAATGAGTCGCAACGAGGAAATTTTTAAAAATACCTTCAATTTAAATCGGGCAAAATCTGACTGAGCTGTGTCCGTTTGAAGCTACCCAACTCACCAAAGTAAGTTTAGAGAAAATTTCAAAAATCAAGTCAAAGATTTGGTATGTTTCAAAACAAAATCCCATAGCAACCAGGCCATTTATTTGCTGTTTTGTCGTTGAATATTGTTTTCTAAAAGTTTTCAGGGGTGCTGAAGACGAAAATTGTAGTAAAAATTTAATCCAACAATTTCCGCCATCTTTTTTCAAAATGGACGCCAAAATGACAAATTTTCAAGTTTTCACAAGCTTTGTGTTTACTAATGTCATTGTATGTGTTTTTAGGGGTGCTACATCCAAAAATTGTAGTACAAGATTTTATCCATGAAAATGGTGACCAAAATGACAATTTATTTTTTTTCACCGTATATTTGTAACCGTCATTTTATATGTTTTATTAGGCACTTAATACGAACGTTGTAGTATCAAGGGTCGACCAGACTGTATCCTCCATCTTGTTTTTCAAAATGGCCACCAAAATGGCAATTACTGGAGTTCTTATACTTGATACTCTACCGTGTAATATATCAGCTATCAATAAAATTCTCTTCGGAAAGAAAATTATTGGCTATTTTGTTTATTTTCATTTAAGGCCTATAAATTATTTTCTAACAGATGAAACGAGATATTAAATAATTACCGATTTGATTAATTATTTGGAGTAAATAATAATTTCTAATTATCAATCAACTAATCATTAATCCGTGTGAAGTGTTATTAGTATTACTCAATGACACTTCCCAGGGTGAATCGCATATAGATACCCCATAACATTGCCAAAATCTAATTTCTATCGTCCGATTGAGCCTCCATGCGACCACGGAACCACAATGATTTGCAAGCATTGTCTGGGCCAATCAGCAAACCAGTCGTGTTGGCAGCATAGCAACAAGCTGAGTTTGTTTACATTTTTAGGGGTTTTAAAACCCTTTTGTATTCTTTCAAAATGAATTCAATTTGTAATACTTTGGTCATATATAAAAACTACATGCCAAGCATTTTGCAAGAGGATTGACTGGTCGTCCTGCTGCAAGCCGAGAAAAATATGTAATTTTGCTGAGAATATTCAGAAAAAGACAGATTTAAGAATACGGTACTCTTACAAAACGTCCAAATGAAGGTGTTTTAAAATGTTTTATTGCTATTTTGATCTTTTGGGTCGATAGATAGTATATTTATAGACTCAATTTTCAACCTTAATGGAAAAAGCTAACTTATTACTTGATGATTATGCTATGGACTAAAAAGATATTATCCAGTCACTCTTTAACTGGTAAACTTCAAATGCATTCAAGGATACAAATACGAAACCCTGTTTGGATTTTGAAAAGGCTACTTCCTTGTGTGGTGAGTTAATATTTGCTTTGTGAAAATAAAATTTTTGCCTATGTCTGATATCGTTTTGCAGTTTGCACGGCTTATAGGTTAAAAATATGATTCGATCATTATTAATACATGTATTGTTATACATGGCTCTTGGATATAAAAATAAATCCCAAGAGCTACTGGTGTTACTTCATGGATACGGTATTCTGTACCCAAGGGAAAATTTGTCGAACCAATTGCTAGCATCAGAATGACTGATGCCTTCAAGGAGAAAGACACTAAGCTTTGAATAGGTGCAGAGAATGTTACTTTCCCTATACTCCTGTACTAAGCTTGAGTATAAACAACTGACTTACCGGCACTGCCGCTTTTTTCTTGGGTTGTTGAGTCAAAATACTAAATACATGTATAGTTATTGTTATTGTCCATCTTTGAAAATGTTTTGTATGATATAATGCTAAAAAATGACTTATTTTTTCATTTTAGAATTAGTGAGTAAAAAGTTTGGAGTTGAAGAAAGGAAGTTTGCGCGTACAATAAAAATAAATTGAACAATGTTGAAAAATGACCCAAAAATAGGAAATTAAAATGTTAAGAAAAATTAATTGATTTGCAGCATCCTGATGTCATCTGATAGCACATTTTAGTCTTCAATAGAGAGTCATATCACTGTACAGAATTTGGATCCTATTGAGATTCCTATTTGGACTTCTTTGAAGATATTCTATAGATATTCTAATATTTGTTAAATAATGACTTGAGATAGGCTTTATATATATCATTGGCAATTATCAATCAACTAATTATTAATCTAAGACAATTGATTATATTTACTCATTGACACAATCCGGATTATCAGCCAGTTGATTAATTTATAGAATGTGCCGCCACATGGTTTTCAAAACCATCAGATTTTGGGACAAACCATGGTCGTCGGTAACCACGGTTTTTATCGTATTTCACAAACCATGGTTTAAACCTAGAATACACAATGGTTTTTGTAACCTTGGTTATTGTGACATACAACTTTCTAAAAGCATGGTTTTCCAAACCCTAGTCCTATCAACCCTGGGTTCCTACTAACCATGGTCTTTTTCACAATATTCTGGTTAAAAACCATGGTACTTGTGCACCAAAACTGTTGTTCTTAGCAATATAATTTTAACAGCAGAAAGTATAACTGCGAAAGCGGCGGTACGCCAACGCCACCAGGCCTATGTTACTCCCCAGTCCAAGCTACCTCTATACACTAAATTTTAGCCTCGGGACAGCCCTAGTGTATCCACTAACCCTGAACAGACAAACAACAGTAACAAATATTAGTATAGATTTTTTTCATTTGTTTTTCGCATTTTCTGAAGCTCTTTGCTTCATTGGCCAATTTCTGTCTTATACATTCATTTATGGAGCTTGCAACAGCTTCTCTTCCTTTATTGTCTTTACATTTAGATTTTAAAAAAAAAGTTTGAAATAACAAGTTATTCTAGTTCCCTTATGAAAATATTCTATTGGAAATGCTATAAGAAAATCCAACAGGATTCCTATTGGATACATTTGGAAATTGAGTCATTCTGCTAACAGAATTCTAAAGGTATTCCAGTAGGATTTTCTATAGGGCCTGTGTTGTCATGATCAGTCCCAAATCTAATAATATACAGTCCCATGTAAATGAATAAATAAATAATATATTTAAAACAAAAAAAAAAACCATGGCATCAGTTTATGAGAAATTTTGCTGATCCAACTCAAAACTGAGAAACACATACCTCTTCTGGGTCACTTGAATTAATAACATACTCTTCCTCATCACTTGAGATTAAACCAAATGTGTCTCCATTTTCAGTGTTTCATATTTTAATTTCTCTTGCACAGACTTCAGCAAATGATTATTTGTTGTCTTTTTTCTTTTTTTACTGCCAACCTGCAAAGGAATTAGATTAGAATTGATTATTCTGAAAGAAATATTTTATGTTGTTGACAGTTAAATTTAAAATGTGTCAAAGACTATTATAATGGATGGTGCTCTTAACATGGTTCCTACAGTACACCAAATTGGGGATGATATTTCATGACATCATTAACAAATTCTAGTTACCTAAGTATCGGACGCTTATTAAGAGTACAACAACAAAGAAATTTGATCAATAAGACAATTCTTTGCCATAAACCTGAATGGATACACTGACCATTACATCCATTTTGAAAACAACATAAATATTGCGTAGCTGTAGATTTTATTAAATTTATGGACTAATGTGGTAAGTTTTACCTTTATTTCATTGGGAAATTGTTTATTATATTATGTAAAGCTATGTGCTGTACAGTTTGGGGTTAGTCGAATTGAAAATTAATGGAATTATAGGCCAGTAACTTTCATCAAACGTGCTCAAAGGAATTCCTCAGAACTATCCACTATTGTGGAACCATTTCTATGTACTGTAGTCTAGGCCTATTAGCTAGGCCTAATAAATAAAGGGCATATTATTTTTTATATGAGGTGTGGTCTAGACAATAGGCTAATACTAATAGTAATAGACATAGGCCTGAGCACTCATCTAAAAAAAAAAAGGCCTACTTACTTTTTTCTTGTCTCTGTCTCATTCTCACTTGTTTTCCTGTTTATATTACCGTATAAGTATCTTGATAAATAATCTAGAATATTTTTTTCGGTCATCTGAAAAACGAAAATAGAAAAATAGAGAAAAATGAAATGGGGTTTAACAACAGTTTAACAGCCTACGACCGAACTGTTCTGATCTGACTGGGCAAATGAAGTCAGGCATACGAAATGCAGTGATGAGGGAACTTCTGCCAGGACAGCGTCTTATAGTCTATCGAATTCCAACTGCCAGGGGATCTTTTACCTGCACTCCAATGTTTACACGGGACCTCGGCTATCCGGCCCAGGCCCTTTGTCCTGCATCACATTCACTGACATTACAAGGGTGAACCATGCTGGAAATCCTGAATTAGCTGATGAACTTTCTCGTCTCGGCTAGTTCTAGGCCTCGGCGTACACAGAGATCGAAATGAGAACAGTTCTAGTTCTAGGCCTACTTCAATTTTAAAGCCTACTAACTTATTATTCTATTAATACATTTAGGCAACCGCTATCTAGATTTAGTTAGGGACTATTAAGAAAAAAATGACTTGCCACTAAATTTTATAATTTTCGCAAGGTAGTCTACAGAACTGTGTCTTTTTCAGTATGTTTTGTGTCTCTAGGCTAGACTGTCCCGCCTTTGCTGTTTACAGCCACCGGCCATTTTGAAATATTGAAATTTCCTTCGAGAAATATCCCACGTCTCATTATCAAATGTTTCTTCTAATTCAGCATTTTTAGATAAAATCCGATTTCACACTCATTTTCTTACTGTTTCTCCGTGAATTGAAAAAAGCGCCCAATTTCGTCTGATCTCCACTTCAAAAGGGTTCATGTGACGATAGTAATTTCGTATCATTATTCATAACCCTTACGCCATTTTGATACACGCCCATCTCCACAGAGGCATCTAGGTGACATTCTCTCTTTAACAACTAACTATAGAATAAACACAAACTCTAAATTTATAGAAGAACTACAACCGAAACCAGTTTTTAATTTTCGTTTGGTATTATTGCTAAGTGAAATGGGCAACGGCATAGAAATAAGGCACGATCTTAACTTAATTTACAAACTAACCCCCTGACACGTGACTTATGCCGGATTGATGATTCGATTTCCATGATGGCGTCCGACGTTAATTCATTTTCTTTTGAATTTCAGGTTAAAATATGAATATCATGGACATTCCTAATACGAATAACGGGGCATTTGGGAACAGTCAATTGTTACAACTATTCGTTTCTTTTATTTTTGGGCAGTGTCTTCAAGAACAGAATAAATAAAAATGAATTTTTAAACATTTTTCCTCTCGCTCTTCAGCCATCTTCCGATTCAACTCGTCGCGTGTACGAGAACCAATTCAACTGACATTTTCAACACATTCCCTTTTTTAAACTATTATTGCGAGAACTGTCAGCCCTTTATCTAAATCTTACGTAAAGCATCTTAACTTTCCCTGAGTGATATAATACAAAACAAGATGCCTTTTTTACACCATCATCATCATTGTTACACAACACAGGGAGCATCATAGATTATGGAATTTTGAATTGATCATATCTATGTAGATACTGAATGGACTGATATTCCTTTTACAGATTCAACTTTCACAATATTGTAGTTTACAAGGGATCACCCCCACAGTCTTTAATTAATAAATTTCTTACTCTTATTTTAATATTTATTCTCTTGGTATTGATTTCAGATCCATTTCTACTGCCTGGAATGTTTATTTTATTTGGGAAAGGATAATTCCAGAAGATTGTGCGGCAGTTGTAGTGAAGAATGTTTAATTGAACAGGCTTTGAAAAATGGAAACTACTTTCTCTACTTGCCTTTAAAACAGCAATTGGTTGAATTACTCAACGATGCAAGATTATGAACATTTAACAGGACGTGATGTGCAGTTTTTGTAGCAGATAAACAGTGCAGATGAAATTCTCTGCTCAAAACTTGACAAAAATTTGATAAAACAACATAATTTGTGTGGTAATGATATAACAATAACATTCATTACTGACAGTGGCAGAGTTCCTCTATTTAAGTCATCTGGATTTCATATTTGGCCAATACAGTGTATTATAAATGAGCTTTCAACTCATTCTTGCAGGGCCTGAATAAGATTTATTTGACGTAGCCTGGTAGTAATGACTTTGTGTCGCCTGAAATTTGCCTTATTTTGTTACAAATACAGATAGTCTCCTCCTTAAAAACAATACAAGAAATGTTATTATTTACTCCCTATAAATTATGCCTACTATTACAATAATTATCCTGAAAATTTTTGTCATATACACCGCTTTAAAGCCTTTGACATCATCATTAATAACATGTTGCTGGGGTATATATGAGCATTTAGAAATGAACAAATAAAATGAAAACTATTTATCGCACAGCTCTGATTTTTTTTAATGTTAATAAATTAAGTTATACAAAATAAAAGCATAAACGTTTTAAATTTTTTTTATATTACATTACGTGACTGAAACTTACACAATTTCTTAAATTAAAATTTTATTTTTCAGGTTTCTGATTATTGGAACAGTTTTGAAAATGGAAATGTAGTTAATTCTGAACCGCTCTTTAAATGAACTTTCAATTTGTTATATTGGATACCAGAACAGCACATAGAGATGCAGCGCAGAAGAAGATACAAAGAATATCTACGAGATTAATCTGTACTTGTACCAAGACAAACTCTTTTTAACTGAAAGATTTACATGTACTTAAAATGAGAATATCCCAGAATTCATGTTTCTAACTGAAAATTAAAACCTACCCTGAAAGAATAACCCGTTACAGGTTTAAAGAAAAACTTTCACAAGACTAACCCCAAATTCCATTGCATATATTCAGATCCCAAGTTATTTTGGCATAGAATATACCCGAAAGATCAAAGAGATTTACCGTTGTTTCTTTCAGTTAAAAAGAGTTTGTCTTGGTACAAGTACAGATAATGTCGTCAATATTTTTGGTATCTTCTTCTGCGCTGCATCTCTATGTGCTGTTCTGGTATCCAACATAACAAATTAAAAGTTAATTTAAAGAGCGGTTCAGAATTAACTACATTTCCATTCTCAATCTGTTACAATAATCAGAAACCTGAAAAATAAAATTTTAATTTAAAGTAGCTAAGAATCTAACTCAATATCATCTAAAGTCTTCGACATTGAAAACACGAATTATCTGTCAATTTAAATCAACATTTATGTTGTGATCTTACCGGAAAAAGATGGGCTTTTGATATCCAATATTTTAGACAAAATAAACATTTTACCATTGGTATGCGAATCGTATACCATAATTCATTTCAGTCCCATATTCCACAAGTCATGTCAAACGGTGATGCCATTCTTATCTAGAGAGCATGCACAATACATACTATATCGACTGGAATAACCAGACGCTAGAGATTGCCATTCGATTGAGATTTCTGGCATATTTCGCTGAACATAACTGATTTAAAATTAGAGTAAAACGGAAACAATTAAATGTAAATCAGTTTATATACATTCATATTACACTATTATATGCGTTGCGACCCATTTGTGGCGATTTCTAGGTCCCAAATGTTAGCGATTTAGCTCCAAATACGAAATTGTGTAAGTTTCAGTGACATATATATGACAATAATCTGAAGAAAGCCTTGAATGCTTTTTAAAGGTGACAATCCAAAACCTTGTAAGTCAGCGTTTTGTACATCATTATTTCTCAATGCTGATCTCTTTGCCCGCCCAGACAAAGAAACATACTTGAGTATCTTTTATTGTGATTTCAAAAAAAAAAAAATATTTCACCATTAGCCACAACTTTGTTTAATAGGAAGATGAAAGATAATCCTTTGTGTCCATTATGTAAGTTAAGCGATGATGATAATATTCATTTTTTATGTGTATGTATAAAATTAAGTCATATTAGATGTAAATATATACCTGCAAAATTTGTTAATAATGTGTACAATAGTGTTCCATGAGTTATGTACAACTAAAAATAAATCTCTTTTCATTTTCAATTTCACATTTTATCAATATCCAGGGCTGGCATGTCTACACGTGCTATTGCCAGACACTTCAATCGTCATCAGTCCACTATTGTAAGGTTGTGGAACGTGTTTGTGTTACTGTTTAAACACCCACGACACTGGCGTCCACCGTGGGCTGCGAGTGACCCCTTTCGTCATGCCTGCTACGCTTCTTCCGTAGTGAGCAGTGGTCAACCAGAGCGTCTAAATGAAATTTAGTTGATGCTTGATGAATGCCATCGTATTAGATCTGAGGCGGACACAACCACTCGTAATCCCCAAATCTCCAATGGGATTTCCCATTATTTTGACCCAGGGGAACCAGTTAATTACCAAGATGAAAAAAATGTGTCGAAAATGAGATCAGCTGCCTTCAAAACATATATTTTGACACCAAATGAGGTAATTTTGTCAAATTCGAATTTTCCCGCCAAAACTGGCCGCCATCTGGAATTACTTCCCAATATTGACTCTGCGGTATAACTAATCACCAAAATGTGTATGGGAATGGATCCAGCTACCTCGATAGGATATATTTTGATACCAAACTCAATCATATTATGGTAAGTGGATAAAAACTGGCATTTTCCAGTCAAAACCAGCGGCTATTTTGGATTTTTGCCAATTTGACCCATTTGGGCATGGATTTCGGATTGGGACTTTTTTTTGGTGATAATATACGTCTAGACCGACCATAAAACGTGGTCGGCATTTCTATTGCAGCAACTGCCCGAAATGATGCGAAATTGAGTTAAAATGCCTGGACTATTCTTTCCCCATCATAACCTCAGTCTATAGTGCTTTATCCTACGCATAACACATGGTTTTGAAATAAAAATGGAAGTACAAATCCTGGTAAATTTGTGTAAACCATGGTGTGAGATATGATCTGCCTGGATAATCATGGTGTTCACATATCAAATTATGGTGTCCAAATGTCAAACCATGGTGTACAAATAGTAAACCCTGGAAATGAAAACCTTCATTTTTCTTTCAAACCATTGTTTTTACATTCTGAACCATGGTTTATATTTGAAAAAAACATCATTTCCAGTACCATGGTTACGAATTTTGAAACTCCAACCATGTTTTTTTGGGGGGAAAACCACCATTTTTAAATGAAAACCTTGGTTTTAGATTGTCTAACCATTTTCAACCATGGTTTATATTTGAAAACCATTATTTCCATTAACATGGTTACGAATTTTGAAACTCCAACCATGGTTTTTTGGGGAAAACCACCATTTTTAAATGAAAACAATGGTTTGGGATTGTCTTACCATTTTCAACCAATGTTTTTCTCCGCCCAAAACCATGGTGTATCTCCTTAAACCATGCTTTTTTCAATAAAAACTGTGATTTTTCTTGAAAAACCATGGTTTTTACTGTGATACCATGGTATTTTTTTGTAAGGGATACTTGTGTCATTATCAGATCAGTTTGAGGTCAATGTGTATTCTGAGATGATTATCATACTGTTTGTCCTGTTAGTAAATATGTAACCTAGATTAAAATTATCATTTGTCTAATTTGTAAATATATATATTAATTGTCATATTGTTATAAATTTATGTACATCACATGTTTATATTGTATGCTGTCCTCAATGGATGTTTCGATAAAATAAAATCTTATCTTATCTTATCTGTCATTCAAACCATTTTCTTTCACCAAAGACGACATACATACTTCATAAGGCACTTGTCATATGTAATTAAATTCACGGAAAGATATAAATGTCTTTAAATTCCTGACCAACGTTCGGTTCCAAAACTGTCAGCATGAGATAGTCTCGATCATGTAGGCCAACCGACTGATTGACACTACTTCACGTTTTATTTATTAATCGCGACACTCAAAACAGTCTCAAAAGGACACAAAGATATGGTAAATGTGATTAATTTGATGAAGATAGACAAAATTATAAAAGTATTTATATTATCACGATGCCATGTGCCGATGGGTTCGAAGTTGAAGACAATTAACACATGGGTTATTGGTACCCGGTACTGTCTTCTTCAATGTTGGAGAAACGAACAGGTGTGTAATAGATTCTTTGGACTGACATGTTAATAATCTAACTTCTGTTGTATTTAAGAATCCAAAGGTAGGGCCTATGCTTTTAAATATTTATGTCAGAATTAATCATCAATTTGATTGGAACAGGTCATTTCGTAAACTGTCAAAGTAGCTGGAAAGATCATGAAGAAATGAAATGCCAAGGGTTAACTTAGAAGCATATCACTAATAATTTAGACCTATCATTATGATCATGTCTTCCGATGTCCTCCGGCTATTGTGCACCAGATAATCTAGTCTATAAAAATTTTATTAAATGTGAAGAAATCGTGGACGATTGCAGAAATAGAAATAGCAATAAACTAAAAAAAATTAAATTCCATCTCAATAATTAATAAACCTCATGTAGCCTATATTTCACAAACACAGGTCATGAGAAACAAATAATTAATTAACCGCGGCCTTTATATTCCACCCACTTTTGTACACCGAAGAGTTCACTTTCCCAGCTAACCATGACATATTTCAAAGAATGATTTCCTATTACAAACGTCTTGCTAATTCTGGTATAGACAGTTTTCCTAAAAGTTTTCTTTTACGTTCTGCCTTCATTACCGATTGCAAACAATAACATTAAATATTCTTGGACAGCATCCATAGCAAAATTATATAAATATTATGATCTCCCTCATAACCGCTCGCCTTCAGCAACTAAACTAAAACTTCAAACTAAATTCAACCATCATTTTGCAGGACTAACTAAATCAGGAACCAAACTGAGAACGTATGGTCTGTATAAAAACTTAATAAACTGACCAAAGGTTATGCACCCAATGTTCTCTTGCTACCGTAGAAGATGAATTCCATTTTCTGTTCCAGTGTCCCAGATACGGGGGAGCTACGGTGGCTAGCTGGTTAAGACGCTGGCTGGTTAAGACGCTTTCATTGCTATATTTTCATTGTATCATCCCAACGGTACATGTATATATCTCATTATATTTTCATTTCATTACATCATGTTATTCCATGTAAAATATATTTTTGTATACATGTATATTGATGTATATGTATGTTTTGTATACTGTTCTTAATGGACGTAATATGCAAATAAAAAAGTTGAAAGTTGAAAGCAACACATACTTCGAAGTGGTCAATGCACAACCCCAGTTTTGCATTAAATCTAATTTATAGTCAAACCCTATCGAAAATGGCTTTCTATGTCAATTGACGAAAACCATTCTAAGTTTCTTGAATTTTAGCTAGATCATTAAAAAATAAGAATATTTACATACCTGATTGATGTATCATCAGCACAGTCGTCAAGCAATAGGAACTTCACCTGTTTTCTATGGTGTTTGTAGGGAGTCAAAATACCGATATATTAACCACACAAGGTTTCGGGTTTACAAACGTTTATTTAAAAACTATCCAATAAAACCCTGAAATTGTACAATTTTAATATAAATAACATGTATAATTAATCAAACATACACTCAAAGCCATTAAAAACGCAATGTCAAATACAAAGTTTATTTACTGCAACAACTTTTAACAAATGCACATAACAATTGATGAAATCGAGATAACAAGCATCTGTAGATAATTTCATGAAAGAATTCATTACAAATGCACAAAACCGAAACAACAGAGAACCATGAAACAAAGTAGGGGTCAGCTTGAAGTCCATATCGGGTATGTCCACCTTGAGCTCTTAAACTGGCCTGAAGATACCTTGGCATGGACTGGCACAGATGTCTAACAACACGCTGTGGGATTGCTTGCCAATGATTTTGGACTGCCTGTGCCAACTCTGCAACAGTTCGTGGTGGCACGGCTTGAGTTTGAACCCGTCGTCCAATTTCATCCCAAAGGTGTTCGATCGGGTTACGAGCAAATCGTTCATGTCGACATCGGTAGAAACGGTGACATCCATCAGGAAAACTGAGGTTGAATCGGGATTCATCCAAGATGACATTTCGCCATGGCGTAACCCAAGAGCAGCCATAGGCGCCTTCGGACAGTTTGAGG